GACTGAAGAAGTCTCTTGGAGGAGAGACGAAACGTTTCATTAGAGAAGAACCCGTCCAGAAGACCTATACAGTTTTTTTCTTTTTGAAGTAAACTTAGTTTTGGTATTAACCATAGATAAAATAAAAAGGACTAGCTACAGTAATCACCATAGGTATAAAAGCATTCTATTCTATTCTATTCTATTCTATTCTATTCTATTCTATTCTATTCTATTCTATTCTATTCTATTCTATTCCCATTTCAGATGGGTGCAAGATTCTATGGACGATATCCTGTGAGTTAGAATTTTTGCTTTTAGATGCAATGAAAACTTATATTTGGGAACAAAAATTGTATCTAAACAGCTTTGTTATTTCTTTTTGTAGAGTGCTCTGGAGACTGATGTTGACATGTTGCAAGTCAGAWCTCCTAAGGATGCAGATAAGACCAACTTGCAGTTGTTTGGAGGCTCCCAAGTCAATGGTTTCTGAGCTCAAGACAAAACTACCCTCCATCATCTCTTCATTTAGACAATTTGCTGACAAATACCAAGTCATAGGGAGTGTGGAGTTACTGAAGGACTCCATCAATGAAGGACTGGTCCAGGTGGGTTTTCCTCCAGAAGAGAGACAAAGAAAACACGTTATTGAGAGAAGTAATAACAACAGACATGTAGAGGACAGAGACAAACGATAGCAGAGTGAAGACATGTGGACAGTTTTTCCTACAGCAGTCTGAGCCTAGACTGCTGGAGGACAAACCAGAAACACGAGAGAGAAACTGCATGATGGAGGGCTTTGGATGTATTAAAGAAACATTTAGCGTATCGATAATACTACAAAACGAGTCTGGTAGTAAGCTGACACTTTAATTATGTTCTTCGGGGAAACAAAGTTGATTATGGACAACTTCATATCGGTAGGTGGCGGTAAAACACACCATCTTCTGTTGTTTTGACAACTGAAACAAACACACGAAGAAGAARAGGAAGGAGCCGAAGCAAACAAAGTTCAGCCAGTCACGGTAAAACTAAAAAGTACGTGATGTAAAAATATGACATAATTTCAGATAATTGTATCCTTTATTTAAAATCATTATGGCTATTTCTGTTTCTGTAGAAGAAGCAAAAATGGACATTGAAGCTTGAGTTTTTTTAAAGAAATAAACTAATGTTTTAATTTCAGCGTCGTTAGAAAATCATGAATAGTTCTGCTTAAATAGTGCATAATAATAATGACAATCATAAATACCTGCTTGTTTTCGTATGAAACATTAACTTTAGTTGTGTATTTGTAGTTTGACGTAGTCGTTGATTTCATGTAAACGAAAGAGAAACTGAATCAGGTGTTCATGTCCGGTTAGATTCGCAAATTTCCCTTTATTTATTACAGTTTTTCTTAGTTGCTAAAACACATTTCTTGAAACCGTCCATCCATTTCTAAACTGTAAACACAAAACCCAGTTTTTCAAACTACTTTCACAGAACCTCTGACTCTTCCAGCAAAACCAAACTACAGCTTCAAAATACATCAAACTTTGCTCAAAACCAAACAATTTTGTCAAATCAGACCTCGAAGAAAACAGAACAAACACAACAGAGCAGTCATTACACACAGCAGGGAAAAAAAGAAAACACAATAAGCTCATGAAGCTTTTGAAATAATCTTTATTGTCCACAAAGGAAAAGGCATTTCCTAAACAAAACACCTACATAACACTTTAATAAAAAAATTAAAAAAATAAAACTTTTTATCTCTTTATAGAAAACTTGTATCTCATCCTACTCTTCCAGTTCATTTCAAACTCAGGTCCTCCACCAGAGGTCTGAAGTCTCAGGGTTCTGTTCAGGATCTTAGCTGTTCTTACAAGTAACCAGAGATCTCTAAGGTTCTTGGGATCTGTTGAAGTCACTCCTCTAGTTTAGGGGTCACAGCACCAAGTCTTCCAGTGACCACCTGACTATTGATGCTTTGACTCTCCATAACTTCTTTTTTTCTCATCTTGGTATTCGTCCAGCTTCTCTTTCTTCTTCTTCCTGGTGTTTCAGTCGCATGCTCTCTACATCCATCACTGCTGCCTTCTTCTCTTGTTTGTCGACCACCATGTCCAGCTGGTTAACATCACCTGTTTGTCAGTCTTGATCAGGATGGCCTTTGTATCTTAGCTGGCGACTGTAGTCTGTATGTTGCATGAGTGTATATAGCATATGCACTGTTTGTTTTTATCTAAGTACATTGCACCAACAAAAGTGCATCCAGTACTTTATAGTATATATAGAGTATTTGACTCTGTGATTGTTTCTATTCACAGTGAAGCTTCAATGATCAGGGATCCTTGTACTGCTTTGTATTGGTTTGTTCACATCATTTGACACGTGTGTGATCTGTTTTGAGTTGCTGTGTTTCAGTTCAGACAGCASTGTGTCTCACYTTWKCTACCTGTGCTCATCATTGYRGAACCCATGTGAATCAAAGGGGAAAATGTGTTTTAGTGGGTGAMAATAGGTCTGTTGTGTCTAACTGGGTGAAACGTGCTTAGTGTTCTGACAAAAGGGTGGCCATTTTAATAAATGGGTTTGGGGAACTAAGCAGGTTCAGACAACAGGGTTTAGTGTTTTAACAACTGAGAAAAACTAAAAGAAAAGAGACATCAGTCCGTCCATTATCCTTTTTTATCTTTGTTTTCAGACGGCCCTCTCCTCCCCTCTCCTCGCCCTGCCTCAGCACCGGGATGGGGCCGCGGTTGGATGACGTTGTCCGCCTGTGCTGTGAGATCTCGGCTCAGGAGCAGATCAAAGTCGCGGTGAAGAACTCCACCAAAGGAGCCGTGGTGGCGGGCGGAACCGCCTTTGTAGGTGGGCTGCTCGGTGGTCCTGTAGGGATTGCTGTTGGTAAGCATAAAACTAACAGTTATGGGAATATTTAAGACCAGACTTGTGATTTTAATTAAGCTTTCTTGATTATTCCAAGATGTTTATGTAGTTTGAACTCTATGTTTTCCAGGTGAAAGCAGGATTTGTTCCTGCACGTTTTCATAAATCCTAACCCACTTTGCCTCTGTGTCTCCGTCAGGTGGAGCAGTGGGAGGTCTCATGGGCAGCTGGCTCACCAGCGGTCAGTTCAGGCCTCTGCCTCAGGTCCTGATGGAGTTGCCGCCAGCCCAGAGGGAGAAGCTCTACAATGACGTGATCAATGTGCTGGGCAGCCTGGACTGGACGGACGCAGCCCAGCTGATCGCCCTKGTGATGGGCAACGCCACACTCCAGCAGCAGGTCACCGCCGCGCTGCTCAGCTACGTCGCAAATGAACTCAGAGCAGAAGTGTGTTATCGTGACTGAGAGGCGGCTCTGCCCAGACCTGACCTGACCTGTGAAATATAAACAGAGGYSGTCATTTTGGTGGATTTAATGCTTCACTGCAAACAGTGAGCGTTGATGGGTCACTTTAGGAGTCCTATATGATTTTCAGTAACGAAGGCGTACATGTACCTCAGCACAAATCATGTTTTTAAAACAGATTTCAGATCATGTTCTACACTCTAAAGAGATTGAAGCCTTACGAGTTGTCCATTTTCATTTGAAAGACAATCTCCTTTCTCTACACTCTGTATGGGGGGCTTTATATGTGCACTGAGTTTTGAATTAAGTACAATTTTTGTAAACACATTACAGAGTACCATATTGTAATGTTCAAAATACAGTATCCTACTGAAACTTGGCAAGTCTTTATTTATTTAAAGTTGTAWGTTAAGACTGTTTTATAAGTGACAGCATGTCACACTTAATGAAATGCCATTTTTTTCAGTGAAGCTTGTAAACCTTCAGCTTACATGTTTCTTAATCAAATGAGTTTTTAATTATTACAGACTACATTTTATGTGCTCTATATTAATCAGATACTTTGAAAATCAAAATGCAAATGTTTAATCCCAGGAATTTAGTGAACATGAAATGTCATATCACTCTTTTTCCACTAGGGGGCAGCAAACAGTTACAGTTGCACAATCAAAGCTGTGAAGAAATGAATATTTTTAAGCAGACTGATGTGTGCTCCCATAAAAAAAAATAAGAGAATAGGAATGTTTTTAATTTTTTAATTGCAAAAACATCAWTATGAATGATGAAATAACATTAAACACAACATCTCGTGCCCTTTATTTCAGTTTTCTTTTTTGTACCAAAAAAAGAAAAAACAATGAACTTTTGCAAGGCACAAAAATCTACTAAAAACCCTCACAGCAAAGACACATTTTAAACATAACCCACATCCATACAGGACAGATGAGCATTGAAGCTTTAAAAATAGCAATCTGCTGTCCTGGATGTTTCTCATAACTGTCAAATTTAATAGCGATTATCCTGGAACCAAACTTTACCCCAGGCTGAGAGGGTGATCTGTGCAACTAATCACAACACATGGTGAGCTCAAGCAGAAAAACAAGGAAAAGGTGTTTATTTAAAGCGGTCACTTAAGTCTGGTTTTATGAATAAAAGGCAAATTCACTCTTCTGAAGGCAGTAGATTTTCATTTTCCCTGCGATGTTTGAACGCTCAATGTCTAGAATCTGTGATTATGGGCAAAATAATCAGCCAGGTTCTGAGATGAACAAGCCTGAATTTGTTAACAGTGCAAAGCTAACCTTGAAACATCGTAGTCCTTGCAGGGACTTCAGGTGTGCTAAATGCAGGTTTATGGAGTAGAGGCTATGTAAGTGTGATTGTGCTGCGTACTGTAGGTGYTTTTGGCCCTTTAGGACACAAGTCTTTGGTTCTGTGTGACTCGGCCGCTTGAGCGTCTAATTGAGCCTCAGAGGAGTCAACAGGGTGGAAGCTGCCAGGATGAATTAACCCTGAAGCATAAACAGATGCTGCTTGTGTTTTCTATTTAAAGAACAAAAGCAAAGCCACTTGGGGAAATGTGTAAAATGAGGTCGCAGTCAACAAAAATCCCAGAAACCTTTACTGAAACAAAACAAAAAGCATTTCTGCTCAGGATACAACCCAACACTGCCTTTATAAAACATACTTACAAAATTGTATTCTCCAACATACATTTCAGTGAGCTGATAATCCCAAATTAGTGTACAGATATGAAAAACAGAACCTGAACCTCACAGAGAAGAAACAGACATTCGGCAGCAGATTTGTTCAAATTACGGCTTAGAGGAAAGAAAAAAAATGTGAGGATTGAGCCACAAGGTGCAAAATCTGTTTGATCTGAGCAAACAAACCAAGAGAATCAAGCACATTACACAGCAAGAAGGTTACATCTGTTATCTGAAGTTTAACACCATTTTATTACATTTTACCAGAAATGCTGAGTCCAGAATGAGTCATGCTTGTTCTCTGCAATCAGCAATCCAATGAGATTTTAGCTGCTGTGAGTTTGGAACAGAAGGATGAGATAAAAGACGACCTCTCCTTCTGCTGGCTGGGTTCAAAATTCAAGTATTGGTCTTTTTAAGGCCAATTCAAGCCTCGGGCTGTTGGGATAAAAATGCAGATCCTGCCACTCTTAACAAAAAAGTAATAAAACATCGTCTTTTCTTTAGTGTTCACTGGTCATGATGAAAAACTTTAAAAGCTGCTTTGGTGTCAGGTTTTATTTCATTTGGATGTCTCTTTGCTTCAAATTTGTTTTAAAGTCCTTTCATCTGACAAATAATCAACAAAATCCTTGTTTATCATTTCACTCAAAAGCTACAATTGGCAGAAACATGTTTGTTTTCTGTATGGTCGGCCCKTCAGCTTTACTGACCCTCACTAACAACAAACTTCTAGTCATCACATTYATATAAATCTAACTGGAGTAAAACGCAATCCAACACTGCAAATAAATGAAATAAGCTTCAAACAGAACAGTGCYGTTCGTTGACCTATTGAGTCGAATACATTTTGAGAAGAAATGTTTTTTTAATGAGAAATATACGTTGAATATGAATAAAACTGAAAACTGAATATTGTGGACCTGAGAGAAGTAAACCAGTTCACTGAAGATTTAACGTGAAGCCTGAGAATCAAAACGAAATCTGATAAATGTTTGTTTGTTGAATTCAAACTTTGAAATGTACGAAGTGAAGCTTGTTAGATCCAGCCACAGGTTGGCACGTGATAACCTGAGAATGAAGCCAGGAAATACTATTCTCTGATCTAGTCATTAAATGTGACGCTATGACGAGTTTAGCTTGAAGAAGTACAAACAGAGCRGATCAGGGAGTGTACCTCAGTTCGGCAGTGCTTTGATGATGTAAACTAAAGGAATAATCTGATGGTTTTCAACTGAAGAACAAGCCATCTTATAGTCTGTTATAAGAGGTATTGTATTCATTTTAAAACTATTTTTGTACATTTTTTTGTTTGATCTTCAGGCTAATTTGACGAACAACGTGAATAAAAAAGCTTGATGGATCCTGAATGAGGTTTAAAGGCACTGTTGAAACACTTGGCAGCGTGAAGTCAGCAAATCAGCTCATGTTTTAAATGGAAACACGAGACTAAAGGCCATATTTAAACAGAGGAGGACGTCTCCAGTTTCAACTTACAAACAGTCTAATCAAGTCAGTTTCACATAAAAATGCTTCTCCTGTGAACCGGGCTGATAAAGCTGGGTCATCCTAAAGAGCCTCGGTGAGGAGGGCAGGATGAGAGATTTGCATGAGAGTTCTCATAAACAGAGCACCTCACTGCAAYATTAAAGTGCCTGTGACAACAATTTTTTTGTAATAAATATGAAAGCATTTTTAGAAAAATAACATTGCAAAAGAAATTTCACGGTGCCGAGATGAACGGTTATTGAGATATTTGCATGTGAAGTAACAGGAAGTGATGTCAAAGGGGAATGACTGCATGTGAACAGAGCGCTGCTACAACGGCTAACAACCAAGACTGCAGGGAAGATTTAGATTATTTTGAGTCACTATCAGAGAGAAATGAAAAAAAGAGTTCAGATAAAATTATTTCAATAGAGACCAGAGAGTTCCTTTTCTTAAAATGTTCCCCTTTGATGTCACTTCCTGTTTCATCTTGGCCAAGCCAAATTTAAAAGAAAATGTGGCAGTTATGTGACAAAATGGGTAAAATTGTGTGTAATATGCAAAGGTTTTAAATATAAAATATATTTTCTTTTACTTCTTCTATTTGAAGGATTATGCATGTCACAGGCACTTTAAAGCTYGGAATTTGGCACTTTTTATATCAAACAGAGGAAGCACAGCTGGACAGCTGTTTTGACATTGAGAAGATGACCTTCATTCAGTTCTGTGTGAAGATTTTCTCCATTCTTGACAAAAGAAGAACAAGCTGTCTGGAGTTTTACAATCTGAATACAAACCTGAATATTTAAGGATTTATTTGGGTGTCTGTGTTTTTAAGCGACAAATAGGTTAAAAAACTCCCACAATAAAATAAAGTTGTAGCGTACAAAATATTTCTATATAAATATCACAAAGCATGCTGTTCATGTTTTAAACTGCTGAAGTAAGCAGGTGAAATGCCTCATGAACCTTACAAACATCAGCAGAACAAACCAAATGATATGAAAGATCTGTTTGACACTTTCAGGTACCGCTAATCGTTTCAGTACCTGAGCGGCAAAAGCCAACTACTCCAAACAGTTTCAAGAGTTGGAGCTACAGAACGTGACAGAGTAACATCTGAGCTTTGTGCACCGTGTGAAACACTTCAGCTCATGTGCTCAGAGTGTGTGCGTGAGTCCACACAAACAAGGTTTAATTATGTGACATTTTACCAAAGCTATGTGCAAAAATACATTTGTAAAGTTAGTAAAATGAAAAATAATGTACACTGTATAATACATAAATTCTGGTGTAAAGTGAAACTAAGAAAGTGTAAAAATCTTAATGCTTTGAGTCTAAAATTGTTCTGAAAGCAGCTCACACAGCCTCTGAGACACCGAGTCCTTGCTGGTCCGAAGGGTGAGGCGGTACATCTGAAAAATCAACATTCACTCAGTTACAACATAAACATGATGATCCGACAGACTTATTTAAGTGTGAGTGTGTGGGCAAGTTTTTGCTACATCGTGGGAACCATTTTACAGAAAAAGGCAGCCTCGTGGGGATAAATGCCCGGCCCCCATGGGGCAAGTGCTAATTGYGGGTGGAGGGTTACATTTAGGACCAATGTGTGAATTGAGTTTAGGTTAGTTTTAGGGTCACAGGTTAATTTTAGGGTAATTGCAGGGTTAGGCTATAAAATTACCAGAAAATGAAAGGAAGTCAATCCACGGTCCCCGCAGGAATACAAAAGCAAACCCGTGTGTGTGTGTGTGTGTGTGTGTGTGTGTGTGTGTGTGTGTGTGTGTG